TTTTTTTTGAATCGACTCGATGATTGCAGCGGCCATGCTCCCCATAATTTGAAAAGATTAAATTGAGACGAATAAATAGATGTTTCCATTTCAGACGAAGACATTTTCTATTTGTTTTACCGACTTGATGATTCGCTCGTTTGATACGAATTAACTTCAATATGAGCATTCAAATGGTTTTTTGTTAAATTCGACGATTCGTATGAATAATACATTTTTCTTTTTTTTTTTTTTTTCCTAAACAAAAAATAAAAAACAACACGAAAGTTATCAGACCTTTTTGTTTTATTATTCTAATTTTAAATATAAATAACATTTCACGCGTAAAAAAAAAATTATTTAATATTAATTCATTTATGAAGTAGAAAAAGAGAAGCATTATTTTTTGATCTTTTTTGCCATAAAGCATAATAAAATTGTTTTCTCAAATTAAGCCTTTTAGTAAGATATCCCAGGTTTTTTTTAACAAATGATATATGTTGATTTCTTTGTCCTTCATCCATATTTGCTAACATGTCTTTATGTAATTTCCTTCTCAACCGATCTAAAATCCTATGATTTTGATATAAGATTATGTCTTTGCCACACGTTCCAAAATAAATGGCGGTCACGCAAACGTTCCAACTTAATTTTTCCAAATCGTAGAAAACTTTGAAGAAATTTACAACGGAAAAAATAAAACCGATAAATCGACTTATGTTAAAAAAAAGCATGAGTAAAGCTCTGATCGATGCTTTATCAGGATTCGCCGGATAAAAATTCCATCCTCCGTGATATGCTAAAATATTAAAATGACGTGAATATGGAGAATCACACAATGGCATTTTTATATTTTTAAATGCTTTTTTTGCAAAATAATTACAAATGGTAAGTAATCAAAAAGTACAAAAGCCCCGCTAAAGCTGTAATCATAAACGTAATTAAAAGAATAACCGGTAATATTCTATTTCTAGAAAGTTCTAGAATTACCCACAAAGTGTTTAACGTATATATCGTTTTTTGCACAATAAGCAAAATTTTTTTTTATAAATGCGATAATTTAAGATAAAACGTTTTTAATAAAATGAATTAATAATTTTCGTGTCAGCACTTACATCAAATTCTTCTCTGTCACACAACCCGATGATAATTATTATCTGTACTAATATAAAAATTAAAAAATTATGTGCATTAAAAAAAAACTGACATTTATACCTGGTGAAAGCGTCAACTTTTGAAAAAAAATTGTCGCCAAAATTTTAAAATAAACCGTCGACTAATTTCGCTGCTCTTTTAAATTTCAGTTGTTAAAAAAATTTATATGACGTTACGTTGAAACTCTTTCATTTGTTTTTTTATTAAGAAATAGCGTTAATCTTTTTTAAATTTAGATTGTTGTGCGTTCTAAACAAAATAGTAACGGAAAACCGAACTTATAAAAGGTGGCTTGACATCTTTTCAAGCGTTTTTTGGTTTTTTTCTAGTTCTTGGTAATTTGTTCTTCGTTCATCGGTTTTCTTCTCATTATCTTTGTGTTCTAATTTAACATCTTATGGTTTCTGTCTAACATTTAAATCAGTGATTGTGTTTGCATATGATATCGTTCGCAAAATTAAGTAGTTTACCCTGTTCAGTTTATGTAAAATAATGTAAACTTTTTATTTCTTTTGCTTACTTACAAATATAATTCTTCTTTCGTTAAAAGTGCATTCAGTTATTGTCACAATTCAGAATAGTATCACGAACGTGGAGAACCTATAATCGAATCGGACCATGACAAATATATATATAATTAAAAAAATAATAAATATAACAACGATTCTTTCTATTTCGTTATGCATAATTTGAATTAATAACATTATTAATATTATATTAAGTTACGACAACTACTTTTTTTCTTATAAAATAATTTAATTAATCTAATTTATTTAATAGAATTTTATTATTAAGTAATCGTTTAAGAATAAAAATAAATTTATTTTATTCATTTGGGAAAGGGAAAATAAAATTCTCCAGTTTTTGTATTAATTGTAATATAAATAAATTTAAAAATGGGAATAACCAGAATGTGGGAAGTAAAGAAAGACAGAAACTATTCCGATCATTGTGGGAGCATTGGGGGGGCATGTCACATTTTATTAAGAGGAAATATGAAGAAGATTTTGATTAATTTAAAAAAAGAAACGAGATAGGAAATTGCGTTATGGGGGGTACGGTCCATATTCTTCGGAAAATTTTATAGATAGCATCATTAATATTTGAGCACTTGTTCCCAAGGAATCAGGTAGAAACCTGGAACAAGTGCTTATAAACTCCGACGAGTATTATTTAGAAAATTGTCGTGTTTAAAAGTGATAATAATAATATTAATAAATATTTATTATTCATACAATTTAAGTACAAATAATATAAAAACGGCTTACATCAAAGAATTGTATTCGACGTGTGATTTAAGAGAAAATTTCCTATCTGAATCCAACTTGTCGAAAAACTGCCAACCATCTGTACATATTTTTTGTCGCCTGAAATTTAATTTCAATTAATCGATAATTTTAGTAATAATAATAATTATAAATGTATGTGTACCTCGCTAAACGTTTCCATGTTTAATTCAATGATTTTTCCAGCACTTATCCGTGGTGGTTTTTGAGATTTCAATATAATAAACAAAATATCTTTTCTTAATTCAATGCTTAATGAATACCATGGTAAGTCATACATTCCTTCTCCTACTTTCCTACACTAAAATAAAATATTTTATTTTATGACAAAAAGAAAAAAAAATCAAAGTAAAATTTAAACAAACAATAAATTTCAATTACCAAATCGGATATTTCATGTGACAACAAACAGTAAATAAGTATGTCGGTTAATATAACGATAAAATATGCACCTTGAGGAGTAGTTTTCACTTGAAATTCAAGGCTTAACTGAAAAAAAAAAAAAAAATTATAATGCTAACACCGGAAGCATTGAAAAATTAAATTATTTTAAACAATACCGGTTACATTTCAGTGTTGACAACATAATTTTATTCGACTTTTACCATATGAGTTTACCTTTTTTTTAAATTGAGTTTCTATCGTAAATTTACTTACGGTCATTGTTTGAACGGCGTTAATTACGACGAGGAAACCACCGATAAATAATTGAAAAAATAATAAACCGCTGTAGATTTTTTCGAAATGTTGTGTGTACCTTAAATTAATCAACAAAAAAATAATCTAAGTAAAATTAACGATAGTTCAACAAAATGCTATTTACCCCAATAATTCTCTTTGTCTGACAGAATTTTATGTAACATTATTTTTGCTTCTT